AGAATCCTGCACACAAGAAAAATGAAAATAAGGGGAAGGTACCAGTTGACAGCACAAGTTTTATATCAACATAGCACTTCCTTCATAGTCGGCTACACTCTTTTTTAGGCTTCGCGTAAGGGCCATAGCTTTCATTCTCCGAAATTATTCATTGACAATTTGTGTTAGTGAATGCCATGAAATGTTTTTTTACAGTAAATGCTTCCTGCTTTCTCTGACTTCGAAAGAATATGTTAACAAACTCTGTATATTCACATATATGTCCACATAAAGGGTAATACAAAACATCTTGTAAAGGAAAGAATACAATGTAGTCATGAAAAGTTGTAATTATAATCGCTTTATGATGTTATTATGCCTAGACGCCGGCCAAAATCTCTGTTTTTTTTAATAAAGAGTCTCTCTCTCTCTCTCTTCATCCTATATTGTGAAGACAGTTTTCTCCACTGACGAAGTCCTTAGACAAACACAAGAATTGAATCGTTTTGCACGCATACCTATTCATGTTATTAGCGCTCCTATAGTTGTTTTTTTCTTATAGTAACAGTTCATTTCCTAAGGTTCAAAACATCATTAACACTCCTCCCAAAACACGAAGTTGGTGCCGAGAATTTCGCCGTTATCGATGCAAGATGTCTAGGGCTTAAGGTTCCTCAGTTAATTGAGAATGAAAAAGTTATATCTGAAAGTCAAAAAGAAAAGACCACAGTGAAACGGCTGCGCGAATGCTCCATTGAGCAAGCAGGCATAGCTTTTTTTCTCGTTAGACACCTGCTGCAATACCGCACCAATTGTGTGCGCTGCGTGTGTTCTCTTCTTGACGCAGCATTCCGTAACTTGGCCACCTAGCACTGTCTAGAGCAGCAACATCATGCCGCTTTCACTTGCGAGCCTTTCGTCGCACACCTGTTCATTAGTTTTCAGACGTAAAATCAGCAGACTCCAAATAAATATATATAAATCAAAGCTGTAGCTCAGGAACTTTTTGGTTTTGGTTGGCTGCTTCTTCGTAACGGAGTGATTGGGGTATAGGGGTGATGGTCAGTGGACCTGTAGGTGACGCATATTTATTGTATCGCAGTGATTGCGAATGGCCTTACAACAACGACAGCATATTAATATTAATATGATGTGGAATTTCACGTCGCAAAACTACAATATGACTATGAAAGATGCCGTATTGCAGGGCTACAAAATTACCACCACTAGGGGTTCTTTAACCTGCGCCTAAATTTAAGCGAACGAGCCTCAAACACTTTCACCTCCGTCGAAAATGAAGCCGCCGCTGCCCGGATTGCATCCCAGGATGATCGGTTTAGCAGTCGAGTGTCATAATCACTAGATAAACGCTGTGGAGTAGGGGCCCTGCTACAATGTTTTTTTTTTTGTTTATGACATAGCTCCTGAAGTACTTAACACAATTAGATCATATTTAAACTGGGACTTATACCTCTGTCACACGAGAAGGTTTATGTCATTTGCACCGAATGACATATGCATTTATTGACATTAGTTGGCTGTCACACGGGGACGTCTAATGTCATTGAAAAAAATGACTTCAGAAGACAAATGAGCTAGCCAAGCTCATTAAAATGTGTTTTCGTCGCGAAGTTGTACTCTCGCCGGACGAGGTAAGTGAACAGGGTTTATATGAAAGGGTTAAGGAATTGTAACGAGTATACTTATGGTTTTATTTTTAAGTATTGCTTAATTCTTTTGCATGCAATTCAACTGAGCCGTAAGAAAAAAATTGAATATTCTCGTTCACAGTGACATTCTCAAAAGGGTCGCTGGCCATGTTGGCCTTGTCAGTCATGTGCTCTGTGTTTACGCTAGCCTTTGGAGCTTGTAGCCGCTTTTCAATATCTTGCGACTGACTAGCCTGTACTTCTATTTCGATGTGAAGCTGCCTTTTTTGGTTAGCATACCTGGCACGAAGGGAGAAAAAACCCGCGACAACTTTTCTTATTCGATTGGCGCGAGAAGTTGCAGCGGCTTCTTCGCACTTCGCCATGTTAGCTATATTGAACGTTTACCACGTGACCCCAAGATCGATAGTGGCTCCAGTCTCACCTTAACTTTGTATGAGCTACGAGATTTTATTTTGATATTCAAAAAACTGCATATTACCCTTTCATCCTCAATTTCATGCATGTGGAAACATTTTTATAACGCTTATTATACATAGTAAATTTTTTACACACGCTGCGACAGTTTTTTGTTCATTCCCGATTTATCGACAACGCATATTTCTTTTCGTGTAGCAGCACATGCCTACTAACGTCATTCAATGTGTCGAATGTCAATAGACTAGAAGGAGACTAAGCTTTCTCTTGTGACAGAGGTATTAGTCACCAAAGCAATGCTGATAAGGCTATGTTGTAACGTGAGGGTGGCTAATGGAGGGCTGGCCGCGAACGTGTGCTAAAATAACCACACTCAATATGCCAGTGCAAATGTTCTGAGATGACATGAAAGGACAGAGACGGTGATGTAGCCATCACCCAGAGCAGAGATTGTGTTCAGCAGTGAGCAAAAAAGGAAGTAAGAACATGACGGAAGGTTAGCTAAGAACATGCCTGGTTCGCTACCCCACGCTACGAGAGTGGAAAGAGAGAGTATAAAGATGAAAGAGAGAGAGGAAAGAAAAGAGAAAGAGACAATGAATTGTCAGTCAATGGGCTGACGCGTATGCAGAGGTGGTGCTATTCTAAACTCAATGGTGTTCACATAGGCTCATAGTCCTCAGAAAGCGCAAGGGGGCTTTGAGTGTCTTGTGAGCCGACAAAAGACGAGAACGGCGCTCCAGCTGCATCTGGACAGAGAGTGTCCCATCGTCCAATTGTCGCAATGCCTCAGAAAGTAGTAGTCTCTCAGAGGTGAATCGAGGGTATTGAAGTAGCAGATGTTCCATGTCTTCTTCGGTGCTGCGAAAATTTCACATCCGAAAATTTGGAGAAATAGCACAATCACCAAATCATTTTCTTTAAAAAAAGAGGTTTGACAAGCATGTAAACCAGCCGTAATGACATATATAATAAAAAGAACGTTTGCTATCAAAATGACTCAATTTAACGCGGGCGAAAAATGGATTCAGCACTAATATTTTCTTTGGTTTAGTATGAAATATCTTTGAGTGCGTAAATAGCAGACAGCCAACATGTAATCAAAGCACACAACTGAATTGTAAGTCAGCGCTTTTTGTCTACATTCCCCATGCCCTTGGCTGCCGTGTGCGCGATAAAAGAGTTTCTGTAATGAATTTGTAAGAAGTCGCCCGGTTTATATATATTCACTAAGTTTAGGGGTCTGGATGTGGTGTTCGCGCTTCCGCATTCGCACTGCCAGCTGTATTTCTTAGGATAACTTGGGGTTTTGTCTCGTACCGAAGCAGATCTCTGAGGTGGCGTAGGGAGTAGCGCTTGGCTGAGGCGTCTTCCGCGGGAGGTCACAACTATTCGTGCTGCTCCCAAGTAAACCATAAGCTGTTTCTGTAGAATGGGGATCAAAAAAAAAAACTATTTGCGGAAAGTATTTATCAGATTATTATTATCATACCGACTCATCATTCGGCCCATACGTAAACCTACGATCTGATATCTAACATGTATAATAAAAAAGTGTATACGTTTAAAGGCCCGTTTTTTCAGACACAATAATGACATCTAAAATACAATCAAGTCAAGCAAAGCATAGGAAATGGTACGTTAATTAACTAAAACGTGAATGGGAAGAAAAACTAACTGTGGATGAAGAAATAACTTGCCGTGCCCAGTGGGCGAACCTGCGACCTTGAAATCACGCGTCTATTGCTCTACCGACTGAGCAACAATGCCAGCTATCCCCCACATGCACTTTATTCGGTAGATATGTGAATATACGTGGGAGAGTTAGTCAACGTGCACTGTAGCCGCGAGTGTGAAACACTTTTTTTGTCTCTTTGGATCACGTGGCGCGTGATTTTGTTAAGAGCTGGTAGCAGATTAATATATTTCCTTGTATACTACACGAAGGCGCGAAATCTGCCATAACCTATTCGCTATGAATGAAGGAAACAAGTGTACATTGACGGGCTCGTTTTTCTTGTTAGACACAGTATGAATGAAAAATAACAGAGAATAATGCCAGGATATGTGTTGCGGATGTTATTAAAAGCAATTTCAATGCAACTGTGAAGAAACAAAAGTGGACAAAACGTAAACTTGCCATGGGCATGAATCAAACATGCCATCTTCGAATAACGCGTCCGATGCACTACCACAGGGGCTATCACCCTGTCAACTTTATTAGGTATATTTGCGAATTGAACATGGGAGCGTGTCATCCCCGTCTGTAGCCATGACGGCTAGTGTGAAACTCTCTTTTTTGTCGGCTCAGCAGCACATGCACGTGATATGATTAAGATCTGGCTGCAGACCAATAATCCTTGTTAACTACCTAAAGACATGAAGCCTGCCATAACAAGGCCCTTTCTATGATTGTCGGAAAGAAGTGTAATCTTATGGGCTCATTTTCTCTGTTAGACACAATATTATTGAGATCTAACAAACTTCATATAACATCCCATATACTTTACTTAACGTGAATGTTCGCTAGAATTCATACAGCATATGTAGACCTCTGCGAGCGCTTGGTCTCAGCCCGAGGTTTTATCCTGAAAGCTTGAGAACCCGTGCCGTGGTTTGACTGTCTGTGGTTGTGCTCGAACGTCTCTGCACAGAGATTCGGTGGATATAAAAATGACATACCCTCAATCAGCAAGCGGCTTGCAATGACCCACACTGATTTATTGAGAAAATGAATGGGTTGTCACATCAGCTTACATCCGTATGTTGTCAAGCACCCCAATTGTTCTTTAATTCACGCCGTTCTGTAAGGCACATTTACTTCTGTGTGTTTAGTTCTCCAGAGTTATACTGATTTAGGCAATGCAAATCACTGCAGCTGCTGTGCCAACAGGTTATGTGTTTAGAACCATGATTTAGAAGTCATGCAGCAGATGCCATTGTTTCTCAAATTTTATTCATCATCACTCCTCTAGCTTTTATTGTAGGCTGACGCCGTTCTGTGATAAATTTTCATGGCCTCCATGGTCTTACTAAGGCAGAGAAGCAGTAGTAGAAGTAGCAGCGGTGCTGGTCGACTTTGTGGCAGCCTTTCCTGGTATCGAGGCATCTTGTATTGGCTGAACATATGGAATTGGGGAAGATAAATGAGTACTGGTTGTATTTACAGTAGCCTTTGAGAAGTTCATATTATTCTGTGATGACGCAGTCTTATCAATTGAAGATGAAGTCAAAGTTAATTTATCTTGAGATGACGCCATGTAGAAAGTTGTTGGATAGGCACTGGTACTGGTTCTTTCTAGGGTAGCCTTTGTCAACTGTTCAGAGGGGCTAGGTGAAGTTGCGTATGTGCTAGCAGATTTTGTAGTACGCTTTCTCTCGGACGAGTTTTCAGTGGAGGGCAGAAAGGAAGTGGTAAAATGAGCACTTGTGCTTGTAGTGGTTTCTTGTTCGTCTTCCTCACTCTCTTCATCGCCTGTCTCCGGAGTGTCGTTCTCGTAGTCGTCATTGGTACCGTCATCGCGGTCGTCGTCTTCTTCAGTGTCTCTGCTATCACTTATTTGTTGAAGAAAGCAAAGCCGGTACAAGTGGAATGAAGGCTGACGTCGAATACATGCAAGAAAAAAAAAAGTAGTACATTTCGTCATGATGAGGAATTTTCACGATTTTAAAGGATTACTAAAACTAACAAACTGCTCATTGAGAGGCTAACGTGATTATCAAAATTATTTTCCCTACACATATTTTTACCTCAGTTAACTTTTGTAACAATATTGTGGGAAGCTTTCTTGCAAAAATAAGGCATTAAGTAGCTTGAATTTTCATATCAAGCGTTCTGCTATGCAACACTTTTTGAGCATGGCCTGAAAACGCAGCTGAAAGGGAGTCAAAGGTTCCGAGAAAACGCTAACCAAATATTATATTGCAGCACGCGTCCTCGAAATCACAATAAATTCTCAAAATCAGCCAAAAGTTGCCTTGCCTTCTTTTGGTAATCGACAACACAAGCTATATCATTACTAAATATAGCAGTTGTATGAGCCATTGGTTGATATGAGCATGGCGTGTTTCGTCGTTACTGGGGCTGCCACTGAAGGCCACCATTCAACCACGTGCGCACTGTCGCACTGCAATGTCGTAAATTCGAAGAAGTATAAGATCGATCATGTTGCGCACGTGACATAACTTCTTTTTCTGTGCCATCTATTTTTGCTTAGCTTCCAGCACTTTGGTAGGGGTGATAGAGGAGGAAACGGCACTGCTGGGTAGGACAAATGTTTATAACTCCACTTGTACTGAATGGATTCTGAAAATTTTTATAGCGGTGAATTCACTGGGAAATAATCTGTATTAGTGGATGCGTTATATGACTATTTAAAACAAATGTTGCAGTGCCCCTCTAAAGTGCACGAAAAGCCGTCTTGTGTGTGTCGCAATGAACTATGTTTTATTATTACTGTCTTCGTTTTGACCACGCAAATGCCAGCTAATCAATTACTTGTTAATGTGTCTGTGTTATCAAGCACCGATTCGCATATCATACAACACACACACACACACACACACACACACACACACACAACATATAACAACGTAATTCACGCCAAGCAAGCAAATAGTTAATAATAATGCACGTGCTGTCAAGGTTAGTGTTATTGACACAGCTTCTGGTTTCCTAGGTGTATTCTGTCTAAGGTTGCCGCCACTGAAAAGTAACGTTCTTCCAAACGGCAAATCTGCACAAAAAGACTGTCCTTCAAAAATTATCTTTGCTTCGCTTTCATCTGCAGCATAATATTAAGAAAGAATTGTGGCATGTACTTTTCTACCGTTATTGGGTTCATTGCCAGACAGGGCCGTAGTATCTTAGGTATAGTGTCCGAATTTTGACACAAAGGTCATCCAATGAAATCCCAGCCACTGAAGTGCACTTTATGCGAGGCAAAATGTTAGAAGACCATTGCCTTAAGTTTAGGCTCTGGCCAAAAAGCACCAGGTGTTCAAAATATACACTATAACATAACTTTTTCTGACTACGATATTCTTGCAGTAATATCATGAACTTAAAAGGTGAATGTGTAACATTTTTATGATGGGGCTAATATCCCGAACACGTTCACTTTTATGCGTTTCTACACATTAGTATACATGTGGGAGGTAGTGGCCAGATGCTGCACTAGGGTGGCCAATCGTTCTTTGGTGAGGGAATGCGTTCCCGGCGGTGGTTACCGGTGAGGCCGCACCCCAGGCCTCGTACTGCAATTATGCACCAGCTTCTACAGCATTTTTCCCAAGTATGAAAGATATGAGAGTATAGGCTAATTCATTCAAAGTTCACGGAACCAGAAACCAAATTACCTTAATGTCAAATATAACAAAAGTATAAAGAAAATAATTAGACAAGTGTTTGTTATGTCAATACAGTTTCATTTCTTTAGGAATATGTAAGTCCTGTACTTATTTTGCATAAGCCCAAATTTTCTTTGCGCTGTGACTTCATTCTCAAGGCGACCACAGCACGACCCTCCCGAACAGTGCTCCCCATTCCTCTTTTGTCCCGTACCACCAGCACCATCACGCGTAGGAGATGAAAGCCGCCTCAATGATTGCTTTTTTTTCCGCAAGTAAAATAGCCGACATTTGATGATTCGTCCTTCGCAATGCACCAAGTGAGTTTTGCAGCATTGCACGCATTAAAGGGGCCCTGAAACACTTTTTCAGATAACTATGAAAGGAATTCACTGCAAGAGCTTATTGGCTCACGAATTCAACGCCGCAAAAATTTTAAGAATCCGAGTAGAGTTACAATGGTTTGTCGCATGCTGAAATTGCATTTTCTTCTCTCGTCCCGATGAAAGCGCTGGAAGCTAAGCAGGGAGGGATGGCAGGGCCACAGAAAAACGTCACGCGCGCTTCGCGACCTTGAGCCCTTTTTTTTTATTTTCTTCGAATGCGTGACATGCTCAGTGCGATCTCGTGCGCATGCGTGGACAAGTAGCGGCCTCCCGCGATGATCTCTGTAACAAGCGAGCACAACTTGTTAAAATCAGCCAATGGCTAATAGATGGGTTGTTGACGTGTGATCTTCGGGCATATACCGTATTTACTTGCCTAATCCTCGCACTCGCATAATTCTCGCACCCCCCACATCGCCCAACAAAAATACGACTTCTTTTTTCCTCGAGTAATTATCGCACCCCCAAAAACTGCCGCAAGAATCATCATCAGCGGCCCCTCCCGTAGTGCACCCCTAATGCACATGAAACACACTACATGGGAGAGGCCTTTGTCCTGCAGTGAACGTAGTCAGGTTGATGATGATGATGACACATATGTAGATTTTCAGAATATAAAGTAACGAAGTATCCTAGGAAACCTAAGCGAAGAAATACTTGAAGAACTATACTGTTTGAATAATATACCAGCGTAAAACAGGCAGTGATGAAGGCTCTATGCTGGCCTTCAAATACGGATATGGTTTTAATAAAAACAGTTTTCATAGTTGAAAAGAGGTAGTTCAAGGGTGGAAAACTTGAACATATGGTGTAATTTACTAGGCATTTGTTGTTCTTACAGATGGGAACCTCCGCTAGAATACATCGTTTTGTGTAAAGTCTTGCTGCTACACTATCTGTTCTCTCAACACCAATCACTTTTTTTATTATGCTTGTGAAGCGTAAACGAGGAGCACTCGATCCTTGCCACGTAGCTATATATAGCGCTGAGTGTATATGCAGTGCGATTGTCTACCCGGTCGTCACCGTATTCTCTGAGCACGAACCTCCAAGCAGATCTAGCAAGTATGTGTTCTCCCGAACAGGCGGCTTGGTAGAAATCACGTGTCCCCTGGGCATCAGCGCCCGAGCGTGAATAAGGGCATAATGATGCCGCTTTTGGGCGTGAGAGCTCTCTCACCCCTCGGCGAAGGTTCTGTTTGCCTAGACATTTATCTGTTAGGCCTCGATACTTTATTGTTAAATAACAGTACTACTTTAAAAGTATTACATAAAAGTTGTGTAGAACAAAAATATTACATATTCTTTAGTATCATGTAAAAGATTTGTATCAACGTTTTTAAACAAATTGACATCCGTTTTTTCGTTACTAGCATGGCTTGAAGTTTCTACTACTGAACGCCGGAAATAACTTGCAGTGCAGTGATTCTTTTTTTAGGCGAGAAATCTATATATTAGTGTCTCTGACAGCGTCATTTTGAATTACTTCAATGTACAATCGCTAAACTTATCAAATGCACATGTATTAAAACAAGCAAATAATATATACGGGTTGAGCAATTAGCATACACTTGCAACGTTTTTGTCACTGGCTCTTGGCACATAAGCAACTTGTGTACTGCGGGCGTAGTTAAAGGAGGTGACGTGTGCGAGTGTGAAAACCTCATCTTAGCTGTTAAAAATTGTTCTTACCTTCACAACCTGTGCTTCTTAAGCTACTCCTTGTTTCTGAATTATCGACTTTATATCAAGGCATACAGACAGGTGTGCGAGACAGTTAAACAAAAATATGGTATGATGGCTCTAAATGAATGCATACAGGTAAAGTGACCATGTATGTTGCACCTTCGCAGCTGTGCGGTCAACCACGTTCTCCCAATCTATTTTTGCAGTGACTGAAACAAATCTGTGAGGACGAGGGCCCATTAAATCTGCAGGCGCACTGTGAAATTATTCACGGTAATCATAGAAATACTATCAAGAACGCATTCTGCATTGTCAATAAATGTAGCTAAGTTGAATTCTCTAGTTCGAGATTGTCCTTATATTCAGTGACTAAATGACCCTACATGGTTCTTTAGCAGCTGAAACCTTCACAGAAGATTTGGATTGCAACAGCGATATGCGTAAATTTTAATAATATTACCGGTTTGCACTGCAGTCGAAAGATTTTCAAAGACCTCTTCTGAAGGTGGTATGAATGTGCTGAAAAAAAGGAAGAAAAACGTTGATTACCTGATTTGCCGCACCCATCATGTCAAAACATTCCCTAATCTTTTTGCCAAGATACTACGCTATCACCTTTAAAGCAGTACGTGGTTGCTGTTTTAGACTGAAGGTATGAACGGCAAAGCAAAAGTTAAATTGATTATGGTAGCACTTTTATTATTATATTAGAAAAATTATGCAGCCAATAAAATAACGAACGAAAAAATTGCCCGCAGCTTCCCTCGGGGGAACACTGAGGAGGATGCGGAGCATATAATTGGTTAACGGGGTGTTAAAGTGTGACTTACTTGGGTCGATGGCTAAATTGGTTAACGTGGTTGTGAAATGGGGTGTTAAATTGCGACTTACTTGGGTCGCTGGCTAAATTGGTTAACGTCGTTGTAGGAGGGGTGTTAAATGAGTGAACACGTACGACACGCGTTCAACTCGGGTAGATGTTCGGGTCGGGGCGGGTAGCGGTAGCCGTAACTCACGCTAGCCGAGGGAACTCGACCGGCAATCAACGACTGCTTGCACGTAGCACACATGACGTAGTCGGCATAGTCGGTGCCCTTTCCAAACGTATCGCAAAGAACCGACAATGCTTTGGAGGTGTTCTGAATGTTGCCGATCCGAGTTAAGTTGTTATCGAACCAAAGACGATCACACACCTTGCAGGTGTGGCCGAAGCTTCGGTCGAGGAAGTCGCGCTTGAAGCGAGCGTTGGGCGTGGCATACTGCTTGGCGCGCCACGCCGCTACCTCGGCGCGCTTGCGCTCGCGGGCAGCATCGGGATCGGCCTCTCGTCGCCGACGCTTGCACTCGGCTTCCCGTTTTCGAAAGTCCGGGTCCTCTTGTCGACGCTTACGTTTCAAAGCGGCCGAATCCGGTGCTGCTGCTCGACGCTGACGTCTCTCAGCGGCTTCACGTTCTCTAAGTTGAGCATCTTCCGCTCGACGCCGACGTTTACGTTCGGCGTCGCGAGCTCTTCTCCGCGCTGCCTTGTCTTCGGACGACGACTTGGTTGCGGTTCCGCCAACACTTTGGCCGGCGCTGGTCGGAGGGACGTCGATCATTGCGACCTCGGACGTCGACGCGCCGTACAAACCAACCGACGAGCGGCAACCGAGCGAGCAAGCACCGACCTTGAGTATATATACAGCGCGACGGCGCATGCACTGTCAGCTGTCGAATGTTCGAGAAGGGGGAGAAGCGCAACGGCGCATGCGCGCGCGTCAGCTGCCGATGTTCTCGAAGCGCGACGGCGCATGCGCGCGCGTCAGCTGCCGATGTTCTCGAAGCGTGACGGCGCATGCGCGCTACATTATACAGCTAGCGAATGTTCGTGAAGAGGAGAAGCGCACGCGGTGTGTAGAGGAGGAAGGGATGCACAGATGGTGGAAGAAGGAGGAGGAAGCTTGCGGACGGCGCCGCACTACAAGCCTCGAGTATTAGATGCTCCGCATCTAAAAAAACAAAGAAGGAGACGGCATATCAGGCATCATGTATACTATTCGTCTCCTGTGTTCGTTCTTTTATTGGCTGAATATGTTTCCTTTCCCACGCAATGCACCAACTAGCCCAACGACGAGTGTTATCATTAAATAATGGTTTCAGATGTTGTTTTTGGTGGCTAGCTTTCTTGAAACTTACCAAATATTTCACCATGAGAATGTTTACTTACAGTAATTTCAGAATAACGTAGCATGGTCACTAAGAAACTCAAATACGCACATGAAATGAACATTTGGGTATAAGGTTAGTGAGTGATCTGAGTTTTGAACGGTTCTTTCGCATTCCGTATTCCACTCTATTCCACTCAAAATAATATAAACGTAAATTTCAGAGTGGACAGAACTGAACATTCAAGTTCCTGAAGTGATCCCCTAGAATAACCTATGAACTAGTTTTTATGAAGATTTCGTGTTGCAACATTTTTTGTAATTACTGATCGACACTTGTTATATATTTGCAGGTGAGACTGCTGTTTTGCTATTAAAAAATTCGTACACCTAGAACTTCAAATTTTAAGAAACGAGTGCTTTTCTCTATATGAGAGTTGTTCCAGTTATTTGCTTTATTTCATGAGCTAGGAACGGAACGCTCGCTCACCTAATACTAAGCTTATCTTAATTCTCGTGAGAACAAGAATAACTATCAACACGCCCACATTAAAGATAGAAGTGGCAGAACGTACCTGGGGCAAGTATGGCTACGGCCAACACGAGCACAACACAAAGGGTACGCATGTTCAATGCGCTGGTCTCTGTTCGGAGGTACGCCAAAGGAGAAGTGCACTTGCTCGACTGGAGGAAAATTCTCAAAGAGAACGACAACCTGCTGCCGGCCGTTCTTATTTACACGTTGATGGTTAGCCAAGAAATGTGTACCTATAAAGTAGAGCTCGCCTGGTCATAGGAAGCACGTACACTTCAGAAATTTGCGCGTTGGGCTGCAACCAAGTCAAGCAGCGACGTAGACGCTAAATCGCGCTGATGTTAGGTGCTAGGCTACGGGGGAATGTGACAGCAACACTTTTCGAAACACGAGGCAAGTAGCTGAAACTTTGTCGCGCAAGAAGCCGAGACGCAATGGCTCGTTGTTGGTTATTGCGTCTATGAGTGTGCATGTCTTCATTCTGAGAAACCCTTGACACACTTCTAATTTAATGTATGAATAAATCGCTGGAAGCGCAAAAATTCAGCACTGTGTCGATGCGTTATCTCTATGCGAATACTTACATCACAACCATAGACTGAATATTTTGTAATGCAGTGGCAAAGAAAGAACACAAAGCTTGGCAAGCGGAAATAACCTTGCATAAGAATTGGAGCTTTAGTGAGTTGGTATGTGTTCATCTTGGTAGAGCAGGTTGAACGATACAATTTTCCTGTCGCACCATGAACATCAGTTAGCAAGAGAAGCAATTACAGCCTTCCACATCTTAAGGAAAATAAGCTAAGCGCGTCAGCATGCCATCCATTTCACTGAGCAACGCAGAGTTTCGCTATCTTTCCAGAACTTGCAGAAGATGACACAAATGTATTTATTTTTTAATTGCTTGCGGCGTGTTTGGGTGTATTCCTGTTAGGATTTTTTTCCCATTTTCTGTTAAGACGCACTTCACCTATATATCCGCCATTTTTCTCCAATTAAATTTTAGCAGTGAGTCAGCACCTGTCGTTGTTTTCTTTTACTTCATCGTTGTCTTGCGTGTGCTCTTCAGCCAAGATGGAAGAAACATTGACAAATTATTCACAAAACTGTTCTTTCGTAAGCATTTTTCGCCACTCATTGGTTGCCTTGACTTCATGTTCTGCATCAGAGAGCGAATAGGTGAACAAAAATTCATGAAAGGTTTGGTTTATTTCGAGCCCGGAATAGACCACGCACGTAGGGGCGAGAAGACCTTGTCCTCCATAGCCTCTTTTGCCCGCTGGAAAGCCCACTTTTGGTATTCCACCTCCAAGCTGAGTAGCGCATCCTGCGCTCCCGTAGCGACTACAGATAACTTCTTGATCTGTTTGAGTATTCTTGCTGTATACGTTTTACTAAGCCGTTCCTGTTGCGCACTGTTTGCCATTGCGGTGTGAGTACCTCTTATGGAGGTGCACAGCGCTTGTGTAGAAGTGTGTAGTTATCGGTATTCGGCTGCTTATTTCCTGTCTGTATACTCTGGTGAAGCGTGGGCCACACCCGCATTGTCTTTCTATAACGTCGTGCGCATTGTGTATACAATGAGAATCTATTTTATAATGGTAAGTTGGTGACACCACGGGCTTGCACTGACGTACCTTATTTCTTACTGCCTTATTTCAGCCGCACTGTCGCATGCCAATTTCAGTTCCTCCAAGGCATCAATAAAGAGCGAGAGCATGCGCAGTGCCCTTGGGTTCCTGAGTGGCGTTCATTCACCCAAGTGGGGGTGCCTAAAAGGGACACCACGTGCTTAAAAGTTAAGCTAAGGCAGCTTGGTTGTGTAGGAAGTCCTTAATTGGCGCTGATTAAATCAGTTTATGAACTTCACCTAAAAAGTGAGAACTGCTGAAATGAGAATAGTTTGCATCTTGGCTACTTGACAATTATATAATGTCGAGTGATTGCAGCAGTGTTTAAACGCGCGAATGATCCCAAGAACCTCGAAGGCAGTGCTGACTAAGAGCTGGCGTTTCAATGAAATACTGTGCCGTACTTATGGGTGTGGCCACCTGCAGCTAACAGTTGGTGATCAAGGATTATGAATATTCAGCAAATTTAAAAAAAGAGCCGTGAGCTTTTCCATAATGCAGCCAATATTTTACTTCGTGTGAGCAAAACTCATTGAATGCTGATACATATAGTTACCTTCATTTTTACGGGGATAGCGTTTATAGTTACATGTGCTTCTGTTTTCTTTTTTGTTTTGTATTTTGTTTATTGATTACAGTCTTTGACCAACAGTTTTAGCCGTGTATTATCGCACTTACATATTCTGCTAAGGGTTTCAATAAAACGCCAAATACTAGCCAACAGTGTCCTAGGGTTGTTTTTTTTTAGTGCGTGTGTTCAAACAGTGCTGCAACCACTCTACTACTGAAACTATTCAAACAATTACGGTTCCCCGCATGTCGAGTAAATAATACGGAAGTTATAAAAGTAAAGCAAACATATAGATATGGTGCCACAGGACATCCCCGTCACACTGAATACAAGAATAAGCACTTATTTATTGAAGAACGTCATAGTTTTTATATAATAAAACATTTTTTCACACATTTTTATTACGGCATAATAAAAATACAAACAGGCAGCTCACTGTAAGGGGCATGTATTTAGCACGTTTGACTTCATTGAATGCATAGCCGGAATCCTCCATTATTTAGAAAATTAAATATGCATATCACGAGTTCTCGTGTGTTGGATTGTGCGTCAGCGCATTTAGCAATTTTCACATCTAATCTTGAAGATATTGAAGCCCATGTAGATACGTGACGCCAAACACTGAAATCCTGTCTCTGTTGTGGCAACGGCGGCATAGATCTGCAACAAAGAGTGTACATACCTTTTGTAAATCAGCTGAACTCAATCTTCAAAAGAAATCGAGCTATTTCAAGACAACAACTGAACTCGCGAGGTTTCCTAATGTAATGGAATAAATTTCAGGCCTAGAGCCGTTCTCACTTTGTAACACACTATATAGTGTAGATTGCTAGGTTCTCCATATTTTATTTGCTCACTTTTTCTGGAGTTATACGCTCGAGACTACAATATGGGAGAAGTCATATAAAGGAGGACTCCGATAATTTGGACCACCTGGGTGCGATGCACGTGCTCCTGAATTGAACCTCATGAATCGTTAAAACATAACTGCGGCCATCATGCACAAGATTCAATACCACGACCATTCGGTAAGCAGTCGAGCCTTTTTGCCACTTCTGAGCTTTCAAGGTACGCCTTGTATAATCAAGGCATACACTAATTCGCGCGCTGCTTTCCTTTGGAGACGCTTTTTTCTGAGCCATCAGAGCACTGTTCTGGGAATTCCTTCTTCTGCCATGCGCCCAAAGAAGTTCAGTGGATAACGAGCCCAAAGAACGTAGAAGGAACGTGAACTTTAGCGTACACAGTCTGTTGTTATACCCGCGATACATATGGGGCGAATGCAAAGTGTTTGAAAAGAGAAATCGCACAATGGGCCCCATCTACAACGTTTGGATTACTTTCCCGATGCCCTTACTGATTGACATACGGTGGCAGTCATTCCATAGTCCACTTTACGGGATATTTAAGCGTATGCAAGCCCTGGGAGCGTTAGTAAACGCCACCCGTAGCCGGGACGCTGAGAGTGGAACACGCATTTCTTTGGCAGCTTGGTTCATGACACACGTGATCCTGTTGGAGAGAACTGCTGATCAATAAAGCCTTGCATACAACCTTAATGAATAATAATAATAATAATAATAATAATAATAATAATAATAATAATAATAATAATAATAATAATAATAATAATAATAATAATAATAATAATAATAATAATAATAATAATAATAATAATAATAATAATAATAATAATAATAATAATAATAATAATAATAATAATAATAATTTGTGATTATTATTATTATTATTATTATTATTATTATCATCACGGTTTAACGTCCCAGAATCGTGATTTGATGATGAGCGAAGCCCTAGTGGAATGCCCCGGAAATATCCATCGCCTCGGCTTTTTTAACCTGTCACTAAACCTAAGTACACTGGCTTCGAACATCAGTGCCTCTATTGAGAATGCAGCTTCTCGCAGCCAGGAGTCGATCTCGCGACGTTCGGGTTTGCAGTCGAGTGCCATGACCAGAAGACACCATGGTAGGGCAACCACAATCAAAATCAGCCAATAATGAAGCCAAGTAACGTAAAATTGATGTTGATCGTCGTCTTTAAAGTGTGTTAACATAATTGTTATATCGATATGAAGAATGCAAAGTGGAGAAAAAACAAGTTGTTGCCGGCAGGATTTGCACCTGGAACCCAACCCATGTTGTCACGCGCGTGGTTGAGCGATGAGCCATGGAATAAATATTTGTTGTACTAATGAGTCACTCGCAAAAGTATTTCCGTACATCTCGTTCCAGTCGTTTTATTAGTAATCTTGGCTTAAGTCATAAATTACCTCCGTGTAACCACTCTATACTCTGAAGGCGAAGCCAAGAAATTAAAAGCTGAACTAAACTTACGAAAAATTGGTAGTAGGATTTCAGCTAATAGCGACTGCGAGAACTGCTATGTTGCAGCTTGGTAAACGTTTCTAGCAGACATAAGAATATTCGTGTCAGAACCACAGGGCCGAAGCACGTCCGCTACACATACTCGTCTTTATTTTTATGATAGGGTCGTCCTCGGCACCTGTGTTTACGCAGCTGGCGCGCCACGTATGCAAATAATGATTTGACTCATGCATACCACGAAACTTTTACGTGCTGCAGTCGTCCGTGTAATCCCCGTCGGTACAACGTTCATCTACACGGGGAAGCGGCACAGGAAGCACCTGACAACTCACCTTACAAGCACGAACCTCGAGCGCTCGCAAAACCAGCCATGTAAATAAATATTTCAAGCAAGTACTAGCCAACATGTTCGGTATTACGTAAATAAATATTTCAAGCTTTAACACACGTGAACCTCAGAAATAGGGCCAATATAGGGGAATCAAAGTTTTTAGAATGACAATTATCAGTAGCACATAGTAAAATGAAATTGAGGAACCTCAATTTAAACATAGCCGCTTGGTCTCAAGTAGTGCCGCTGGGTCTTGAGATTGTGTTTCCACTCATACTCCAGGTTTGGCTTCAGGCTCTGGCTGAGGTTATGCATGCGGTTGTGGTTAAAGCGGAGGATCTGG